CCTCCTTGAAACTTTTGTTGGAAACACCAAGACAATTCTTTAGTGTTTCAAACCTTTCTTTTGGTTTTGGGAGAGCTTTGGTGAATATCTCAGAAACCTATTCTTTAGAGCTGCAATGCATGAGTCTCACCTCTTTCTTCTCTTGAGCTTCTCCAATTAAATGATATTTGATGTTGATATGCTTGGTTTTGCCATAAAACACTAGACTTTTCACAATGGCCACAGCTGATTGATTATCACACAAAATGGTAGTGGCCTCAGATTGTTGATGCTTCAGGTCATTCAAAATTTTCCTCAGCCATATAGCTTGATTAGTTGCTTCAGTTGCAACTATATATTCTGCTTCAGCTGTGGATTGAGCCACCATATTTTGTTTGATAGAGTTCCAGCAGACAAGACTTGANCTTCAGCTGTGGATTGAGCCACCATTTTTTGTTAACTGAGTTCCAATAGATAAGACTTGATCCAACATAAAACTCATAACCTGAGGTGCTCTTCATATCATCCATTGAACCAGCCCAATCACTATCAGTGAATCCTGTCAACGCCAGCTCTTCTGATTTCCTGAAACTGATTACATCGTTCTCTGTCCCTTTGATGGACCTCAGCACTCTCTTGGAAACTTGAAAATGAATTTAGCTAGACTCTTGTCTGAATCTAGACAGTAGATTTACAGCAAACATTATGTCTGGTCTTGTGGCTGAAAGGTATAGCAGACATCCAACCAAACTTCTATAGACTTCTCTATCGATTTTGCTTGCACCATCATCCTTTATCAGCTTTAAATTCTGGACCAAAGGAGTGTTAACTGCTTGCAATTTTCCATATGGAACTTTTTCAACACTTCTTTGGCATATCTCTGCTGGCAAACAAAAATATCTTCATCAGACTAATCAACCTCCATTCCAAGAAAATATTTCATCTTCCCTAGATCAGTCATTTCAAAGTCCTTCAATTCATTCTTTATCTCATTAATCAAGATTTCATTGCGTCCTGTGATTAAGAGATCATCAACATAAAGTGAAATGATGAGCAGATCCTC